ACAGGGCAAAGTAGAAAAATAATTTTGATAATCAAGTATTCCATGGCTTTAAACATTTTATCTCTCTTCTGTTTGTTACTATTTTCAGCAGGACTTGGCTATGAGTTGGAATATAGTGTTCTGGCTGGAGCTGTGGCTCTGGAAACCAGGCATGCATGCACTTGACAGACTATAAAGACATCAAGTTTTATTTCTGAATTTGGATCTCAGTCAACTGTTTTTAAACACACCTTTTAAATAGGTTTCAATGGCTTTAATTTTTTTGCACAAAATGAACAATAATCTTTATAAAAATCCAGACATGACAAAAGTATGAAATATATAAAGCATTGCAGATTCCACTTTGGATAACTGTCATCTTTAATCCAATTTAATATACGGTTATCTATGTAATTACTTTCTATTGCTCTGACAGACTACCTGAGACAAACAAGAATAGGAAATTCCGGAGTGTTAAAATTGTGGCTATTGTAACTGGAGATTTCCCGACACCCTTAGTGTGCCTCTCTAACTTCTGTGCGTATCTTATGAGTGTCTGATTAATTTTTTAAAAAATAGCCAGACTTGATTTACCTTGAGTGAGTTTCTTTCCATGTATTCATTCTGAGTTTTGATGAGTTTTCACACAGTAATGTAATGGATAATGATTTTTTTTTCAAAAACCATGATTTTTAACTTACTTTTTAAAATGTATTGTCGTAGTTTAGTGAGTAGTGTTTGAATGAACAATGTCTCCCATTGCTTTTCAGATATTTGAACACTTATTTCCCCAGTTACTAACACGGTTGAGGGAAACATTACTCCTTTAAGAAGTGTGGTCTTGCTGAAGAATGTATGTCCCTGGGTCATGGGCTTTGAATGTTTATACCCTTGCTTCACTTCCTTGCGTGATAAAATGTAACCAACCAGCTTCCTGCTCTGGCTGCTGTATTCTTGTAACTCTGGAGTCCTTTTATGGAACAGTAACCCCAAATAAACTCTTCTTTCTCTCAATTGCTTTGGCAGTGGTATTTATCATAGCAACTAAAAATCTAGTAATAAAAATATTGGGAGCAAAATGTGGGCATTGTTATATTATGGGGGAAATGTGGGAGACTTTGGGACATTGGAGTAGGAATGCCATTGGATTTTGCAAGCAGAATTTTATAGGCTATTCTAATAGGAGCTCAGAAAATGGTGGTGACAATAATATGGATGGTAAAGACCCAGCTCATGAGGTCTCTCTCAGGAGGAAGCAAAGAATTGATTAGCAGCTGGGCTAGAGGCCACTCTTGTAGGATTGTGGCAAAGAATTTGGCCAAATTAAAAAGCAATAGACTATTTTTAAACAGATTATTTTAAGACGTAACATTGAGAATGCAAAGGTTTATTACTGATAACTCTTATGCAGTTCTATAATAAAAATAAGTGGGGCAGAAAGGAATACACCATGTACAGTTGGGAGAGAAAATGAGCACCGGGAAGTTTCCTGTTACAGCCAAGGCAGGGACTGAAAAAAGAGACAGTAACTGTTAAGGAGAGTAGCGTCATTAAAGAGAGGCATGTGCTCTGGACTGAGATAGCACAAAACCCTGAGGGCAAGACAATACCCAGCTAGGCTTCCAAGTTTTGAGAGGAGAAATCCTAAGTGGTGGTTTGCTCTTAGAGAAAAAAGAAGTCACTCCAACAAAGAAAAACTAATTAGGTTGAAAAGCTGAGGATGTGCCCAGAGCTGGCAGATGAGCTTGGCAGTGTTGTCCAGGAGCTATTGACACTAGAGGCAGGCATGAAAGATGCAAGAGCAAGGGGAACGGGCATCCTTCCTCTTTTGTTTCAGAGAGTTGCTAAGACCAGCCAGCATGTGGCAGCACCAACATCACTGAGCAGCCATTGAGTGAAGCTGGGAAGGTGAAGCCCATAGTGGGAGAAATCCCAAGATGTAGATGATGCAAAGCCAAGAATATACCAGGTGATGCTAATTCCAAGGGATGAAACCAGCTCAAAAGAAAGGGCTCTGTTGCAGATGGTAAAACTGGACGAACAGAGACCCAGACACAGAATGTGGAGCTACAGGATTTCATATTTGATCCCACTGGTTTTTAATCGTGCTTTGATCCAATATTTCTTCACTATCTCTTTAAGGAAGGAAACGTATATTCTGCAGCCCTTTAAACTATATGTTAGAAATAACATATTTTTTGTTATGTGTTGTTGCTTACTTTTAAAAAGGATAAGAGGAATACCTTTAGTTTCAGAAGAGACTTTGCAGGTTTGCACAATATTGAGACTGTTAAACACTATGGAAAATTTTAAAATTAGACAAAATGCATTTTACATGCTGAGATGACCATGGTGTGGAGCATAGAGGGCTGAACCACCAATGTCCTCCAGAGACTAGTATATTTGAAAACTTGGTCCGCAGTTGGTAATACTGTTTGGGGAGATTATAAATGCTTTAGGAGGCGTTGCCTTACTTGAGGAAATATGTCACTGGAGATGAACTTTGAAAGTCTGTAGCATTACTCCAATTTCACTTTCTCTCCCTCTCTCTCCCTCTCTCCCTCCCTCCCTCTCTCCTTCCTCTCCCACAACCTATATCTCTCTCCCTCCCTCTCCCCTTCTTCCTCTCCTTCTCCCTTTCTCTCTCTCCCTCCCTCCCTCCCTCTCTCCTTCTTCCTCTTCCTTTCCCTCTCTCTCCTTGTGACAGACTGAGATCTACAGCTTATTATTCAGGTTTCTGCTGCCATGCCTTCCTTGTCACTATGGAGCCCCACTCTGGAACACTAATTAAAAATTCCCCCTTCCCTGAGTTGTTTTCAGTTCAAGTTACTTTATCACAATACAAAAAGTAAGAGAATCAGAGAAACTCTGGAGCCAAAGCTGTGTTTGAATCTTTATTACTGTGCCTAAGAGATCCATGTACAATAAAGCCCTGATCTGCAAGCCCCTTGCGGAAGGACAGAGAGTTCCTGCAAGATTGGAGGCTATTATTTATGTAAGATAATGAGCCACGTATTTTTAACTCCCCTAAACAAGTCTGTTTGACCCAACTACTCCACTTGTGGCTGATCACATGCGGGCAGGAGGTTCACGGGCAAGAAACACAACAGGATGTAAATCTGCCCCTGACTGGACCTGATAGGAAATAGGGTAAATTGTGGGTTTTGTCTTTTGAAGGCCCTGCAAGCCATGACGGGGGCATTTTCTGGAAAATCAGAGATGGCCCTGGTCAGAGAGTCCATCAACCTAGCCAGTATTCAATTAAAGTTTGCTTCAAATATAACTTTAAACTGAGGTAGGATTTAACAATACAGTATATTTTGACCCTTAAAACTTAGAGTGGAAAGATAAAGAAAGAAAGCACTAAAGTGTCAGCGAGAGGAGAGTTTGGCAAAGTTGCAGTGATTTCATGGATAATATTGTGTAGTCAGACTTACCTTTGGGCTGCCAATTGGCAAATAAGAACACGGAGAATTATTAATTATTAAAGCTTGTTCCACTAACTCTTACAACTTAATCCATATTTCTATTAATCTATGTTTAACATCATGGCTTTTACCTCTATCCCATTCTGTGTGTCTGACTCTTTCCATGTCTCGATGGCATCTCCTGTGAACCTCGATTATGTCCTCTGCCGCTCTCTGTCAGGAACTCCCACCTATCCCCCCTGACTAGCTATGGGCTATTCAGCTTTTTAATACACCAGTCACAGCAACGCATCTTCACACAGTGTACAAATACACCACAACAATATAGCTGACTTGCATATGTAGTGTTTTTGAATATTAACAGTATTCTCAGTGAAGTACAGGAAAAGAAATCCCTTCCTCGAGAGAAACGTATCCTCAGACCTAAAGAACAAGCCATTTCTTTATTGACTATGCTTCGTTTCCGGTGGCAATGATTGCTTTATGCAAATTTAGGAGGGAATGGTAACAGTAAAATTTGTTTGGTAGCTTCTGCCTGAAAGTGCTCAGAGCACTCCGCACTTGACTTGCTGTGGGTGGCAACATGTGTTTATCTCCAGGCTATGCTGGGGGTTTGAGGACTCTGGTCCAGATGGTGGAGCGTGGAAAGACTCAGCCATGTGCTGCCTATTTCTGCCCTTGGGATGGAAGAGCAGGCAGAGAGCTTGGAATATCAACTTCTTAGCCATGCAGTGGGGCTTTGTTAGCCAAACTTGTTTTACCATGGACTTGTGATTCACACACACAGAGACAACTTTAGGATAAAACTGTCATGTTGGTCAGCTTTCTGAAGCATTCACACAGTTCCTAGGGCAATCAAAGCCAGGAAGGTTTATTTCAGCTCAACTTTGGAGGGTTCAGTACAAGGGCATTTGGACTTGTAACATTTTGGCCTGTGGCAAGGCAAATGCACAGTGAGAATGTACTGAAAGAAGCTGCTCACTCATGATAACTAGGAAGCAAGGAGAACACTGCACACCTAAGAGCTGTCTAGTCCGCATCTCCTTCAAGGGTACAGTCCCAGTGACTATCGCCTCCTTCAAGACCTCACTTCCTTTTCATTTTCTTTTCTCTCCTTTTTTATGTTTTGTTTTGTTTTGTTTTGTTTTTGAGACAGGATTTCTCTGTGTAATAGCCAACTTGTCCTAGAACTTGTAGAGCAAGCTAACCTCAAATTCACAGACATCTGCCTCCTGAGTCGTGGGATTAAAGGTGTGTGCCACCATGCCTGGCTAAAATCTCTCTTCTTAGATTTCAAACACCACAGGCTTACAAGCAAGCTTTTGCCACACGTGCCTTTGGAGACCACAGCATAATCCATAATCCTGTGACTACAATGTAGTCCACCTCAAGATATGCATTAATAAGATATAAGCAGCCAGTTTTATCAGCATTGGTTTGTCATGCCTTAGCTAAAATAACAATGACCAAAGTCTACATCAGGATTACGGTACAGTTATTGACTTGAAATTTCGTTACTCAGTATGTTTTACTTAATACAAAGACGTAACTTTCTTATTTTAAGTAAAGTTTATTAGGAAAGGTTTTTATAAAAAATATATTTAAGCACAGGCTTTAAGGGAAAGAGACAATTGAAGAGAATACTACACACCTAAGTGCAGGAAGTGACCCAAATTCATTTTCCTGAATCTTGCTTCCTGTATAATTATGTCTTTGCATAATTTAGGTAGTCAATGTATCTTAAATTTTGCACGCAAACGGATGGAAGTAGAAAACGCTATCCTGAGTGAGATAACCCAGACCCAAAAATATGAATATGGTATATACTCACTCATTAGCAGATTCTAGCCATAAACAAAAGACATTGAGCCTATAGTTCATGATCCTAGAGAAGCTAAGTAATAAGGTGAACCCAAAGAAAAACATATATAGATTCTCCTGGAAATTGGAAGCAGACAAGATCACCAGGCAAAAGTTGGGAGCATGGGAGTTGGAGGAAGGGGAGAGGGGAAGAGAGAGGAGAGAAGGGGAGGGTTGAGTAGAGCTTGGGGGTGTAGGATTGTTGAAATGGAGGAAGGATGGATATGGGAGCAGGGAAGAAGATATCTTAATTGAGGGAGCCATTTTGGGGTTGGTAAGTGGCTTGGCTCTGGAAGGGTTTCCAGGAGTCCATGGGGATGACCCCAGCTAGGACCCTGGGAAGTAGAGGAAAGGGTACCTGAACTGGCCTTGTCCCTTAGTCAGACTGATGACTATCTTGAATATCACCATGGAGTTAGATACAGAGACTCACATCGGATCACTGGACTGAGCTCTCAAGGTCGAGTTGAAGATGTAAGGAGGAAGAATATGAGCAAGAAAGTCAGGACCACAAGGGGTTGGTTCATCCACTGAGACAGTATGCCTGAGCTAATGGGAGCTCACCAACTCTAGCTGGACTGGGCCTGAACAAGCATGGGATCAAACTGGACCCTCTGAATGTGGCTGACAATTAGGGTGGACTGGGGGGCCAATGGTAGTGGCACTGGGATTTTTCTCCACTGCATGTGCTGGCTTTTTGGCATCCTATTCTCTTTGGATGCATACCTTCCTAGGCCTAGATGTGGCTGGGAGGGCCTTGGACTTTTCACAGGGCAGGGTGCCTTGCCCTCTCTTGGGACTAGAGGGGGTAGGGGTGTGGGGGGAACAGGAGGGAAGTGGGAGGAGGGGAGGAAGTGGAAATTTTGATTGGAACAGAAACAGGGAAGAGGATTGAGGGTTGGGCAGAGGAGAAGTGGGTTGGGGGAACTGAAGGAGGAAGGGAAGCTGGAAAGAAATTTAATTAATAAAAGAAAAAGAATAAGAAAAATTTAGGTAGTCAATGAAATACCATAAGTACAAATTCCATTTTTAACAGTATTTTTAAAAAGGTGCAGAGAAAACTCCACATCACTAAGTTTCATGGTTTCTTATTTCTAAAATAAACTTCTGTTCTTACATACAAGATATAATGGGTTACTTGCATAGTACCTGGCAACTAATAGTTGCTCAACCAATCACTTTCACGGTGACAGATATATTATGATTGTCTCTTTATTTTGTCTGTTCCACGTGATAGTGTATTACTTATTATTTAGAATCTGGCACATTACAGCTGCTTAATGTTTGTTGATTATATAGCTCTGTATAGGTGACAAAAAATGGGATTATGAAAAACTTGAATGGTTTTTATTTTCCTTTATGCTTCCCCTATAGGTGTTTCAGAACTAACCATCCAATACAAGCTTGGTATCCAGGCTCCACAAGTCCTTTCTTTTCATGCACAGCATTACTGGATCTGACTCCACAGTATGCTAGTCTAAGATCCTTTTTCCCCTGCCCGACTCCAACCAAGTGCAGACCTCAAACACTAGATCACATCCCACCTTACCATGCCATCTTCCTGGGTCTCTATTAGTTCTAGTATTGGGTCCTGACGATGTGCAAATAATGGGGAACAAACCACTGAAGACTATTAACTGGAAACAAACTTCATTCCAGACACCACGTGGCAGAAATAATCTAGCTAGCGAGGACCACAGTCAGAATTCAGGCTTCTGACACTGTGACAAGGAGAGGAGATTTCAAACCTCTTCTTATAGTAAAAAACTAAGCACCAGGTAGTGAATCAGAAGAGACTTTGCAGTCTTGAAGTTAGGACTTGGGGAGATCTGAAGAAATTCTGACAATCTTGAGTTTAGGCCTTTCATCAGATGATATTCCAAGATTTGCAACTTTGAATTATGAGATGTTAGTCCAAGATATTTGTGAAAATTGGTGTCTATCTTGAAACAGTTGCCTTCCCTCCTACCTGAAAAGAATGGAGAACAGAGGTTCAAACAGAGCAACTTTTAAAAGTTAACATTTGTTCACAGTAACTGTCAGCTCCAGCATTTCTAGGTGTAAGAGCCCCACGTTGGGTGCCACCTGTAAGAGTCCATTCCTACAAAGTCAGCTAGAATTCCTGGACAGGGGATTTGAGGCCAAAGAAAAGTCGGAAGAAACAGAAGACAGGATAGAATCGGGAGGTCTGTCTGGTCATGCCACAGCAGCCAGACAGCCCTGAGTCTATTTCAGAACTTGCTTATATACAAAAGCAGAACAAAGCACAGCACTGATGGTCAGTCAGTATCTAACCACAAGACCGTTCCTGTCCTTGAGTGAGTGGCCTCCTCTTCAACATGTGCTTGCTGCTTGGAAGCAGCCTCACTTTCTAGCTTGATGTTTTTAAGGTTTGTCATCAGAAGTATACTGTTTACTAGATAGAGTGTTCTTTGCTCATGGATAATACAGAAGTCTCCCATAGCCCTTAAGGTCATTTAAAAAAAAAAAAGTAGAGCAGGCAAGCTTGAACACAAATGACTTCTTTAAGTCAGAAATTTCTCCAAATAGAAACTGGGCACACATGGCTCCCACACCTACGATATGTGTGTACACTGTAAGCATACAGTTTTATATTCCTGGGCTCTTCACTAGAAGTTTACTGCTTTTGATTCATCTGTACTTGAGTTTTGTACATAGTAGTACATATGAATCTATTTTCATTCTTCTACATGTTGATATCCAGGTACACCAGCACCACTTGTTGAAATATGCTTTTGTTTATTTTGTTTTATATTTTAGCTTTTTTCTTAAAAAAATGGATCAAAAAACCTCAACATAAAACCAACCACACTGAACCTCATAGAAGAGAAAATGGAAAGTACACTTGAATACATTGGCACAGGAGACCACTTCCTAAATATAATCTCAGTTGCATAGACACTGAGAGCAACAATTAATAAATGGGAGCTCCTGAAACTGAAAGTTTTTGTAAAGAGAAGGATAAGGTCAACAAAACAAATGGCAGCCTACAGAATCGGAAAAGATCTTCATCAACCCCATATCAGACAGAGGACTGATTTCCAAAATATACAAAGAACTCAAGAAACTTGACATCAAAAGAACAAATAATCCAATTTAAAAATGAGGTACAGGCCTAAACAGAGAACTCTCAACAGAGGAATCTAAAATGGCTGAAAGACACTTAAGGAAATGCTCAACACCCTTAGCCATCAGAGAAATGCAAATCAAAACAACTCTGAGATTCTATCTTACACCTGTACGAATGGCCAAGATCAAAATCACTGATGACAACTTATGCTTGAAAGGTTGTGGGGAAAAGGGAACACTCCTGCATTGCTGATGAGAGTGGAAACTTGTACAACTGCTTTGGAAATCAGTATGGTGATTTCTTAGAAAATTAGGAAACAACCAACCTCAAGACCCAACAATACCACTTTTGAGTTTATACCCAAAGGATGTTCAATCATACCACAAGAACATGTGCTCAACTGTATTTGTAACAACATTATTTGTAATAGCCTGAACCTGGAAATAGCCTTGATGCCCCTCAATTGAAGAATGGATAAGAAATTTTATACAAGGTAGTACTACTCATTTGTAAAGAATAATGACAGGTGGTCTTGTCTATTTTGACATTCCAAGTGGATCTACATATGTTTTTCTTAGGGCTCACCTTGTTACTTAGCTTCTCTAGGATCATGAACTATAGGCTCAATATCCTTTGTTTATGGCTAGTATCCACTGTGTGAGTACATACCATATTCATCTTTTTGGGTCTGGGTTATCTCACTCAGGATGGTGTTTTCTAGTTCCATCCATTTGCATGCAAAGTTCAAGGTGTCATTGTTTTTTACCACTGAGTAGTACTGTAATGTGTAAATGTGCCTCATTTTCCTTACTCGTTCTTCAGTTAAGGGGCACCTAGGTTGTTTCCAGTTTCTGGTTATTAAAAGTAATTCTGAACAAATGTCTTTGTATTATGATTGAGCAGATTTTTGGTATATGCCCAAGAGTGATATCACTGGATCCTGAGGTAGGCTGATTCCCAATTTTCTGAGAAACAGCCATAATGATTTCCAAAGTGGTTATACACATTTGCATTCCTATCAGCAGTAGAGCAGTGTTCCCCTTACTCCACATCCTCTCCAGCATAAGCTATCATTGCTGTTTTTGATCTTAGCCATTCTGACAGGTGTAAGATGATATCTCAGAGTTGTTTTGATTTACATTTCCCTGATGGCTAAGGATGTTGAACATTTCCTAAAGTGTTTTTCATTCATTTGAGATTCTTCTGTTGAGAATTCTCTGTTTAGTTCTGTATCCCATTTTAATTGGGTTATTTATAAATTTAATGTATAATTTCTTGAATTCTTTATATATTTCAGAATATAGGTAAGGGAGAAGGGAGGATAGAAGGGGAAGATGAGGGGAAAGGGGGAGAAGCAAGGAGAACTTGAGGGAATGGGATAGTTGAGGAATGACAGAGATAAGAGCAAGAGAAGAAATATCTTGGTTGAGGAAGCCATTATGGGGTTAGCAAGAAACCTGGTACTAGAGAAATTCTCAGGAATCCACAAAAATGGCCCCAGCTAAGACCCTAAGCAATAGAAGAAAGGGTTCCTGAACTGGCCATGCCCTGTATTCGGACTGATAGATGTCTTAAATATCACCATAGAACCTTCATCTAGCAACTAGTGGAAACAGAGGCAGAGACCAATATCAGAGCACTGGACTAAGCTCCCAAAGTCCAGCTGAAGAGTGGGAGGAATGAGAATATGAGCAAAGAAATCAAGACCGTGATGGGTTCACCCTCTGAAACCATCTATCTAAACTAATGGGACCTAACCAACACCAGCTGGACTGGGAAGGAATAAGCATAGGACCAAACTAGTCCCTCTGAATGTGGCTGACAGTTGCACAGCTGGGGAAGACTGAGGTGCCACCAGCAGAGGCATCAAGATTTATCCCTACTGCTTGTACTGGCTTTTTGGAAACCTATTCTTTTTGTTTGGATACTTTGCTCAGCCTAGACAGGTCTTGAACCTTCCCCAAAACAATATTCCTTACCCTCTCAGAATAGTGGATAAGGGTGGAGTGGGGGAGGAGTTATGTGGAGGAATGGGAGGGAACAGGATTTTGAATTGGTATGTATAATGAAAAAAATAGTTTGTATTCTTTTTTAAAAAAAATTAAATTAAAAAAAGAATAACGACATCTTGAAATTTGTGGGTAAATGAGTGGATCTAGAAAAAAAAAAAACATACTAAGTGAGGCAACCCAGACCCAGAAAGACAAATTTAATATGTACTCACTAATAAGTGGCTTTTAGAAATAAAGCAAAGAAAAACCAGCTTACAAACCACAACCCCAGAGAACCTAGACAACAAAAAGACCCTAAGAGAGACATACATGGATCTAAATAGGAAGGAGAAAAAAAAAAACAAGATCCCCTGAGTAAATTGGGAGCACAGAGGTTATGAAAGAGGGTAGAAGGGAAGAGGAAAGGAAGGGAGGAGAGCAAAGAAAAATGTATAGCGCAAAAAAAACATTTAAAAATTGATATAAATAAAAAGTTTATTGATTTTTAATTCTCATTCCTTTTTAATATCTATGCAACACTCACCTTTCACTTGATGAATTAACTTATGTTGGCATTGTTGCTGTTGTTGTTTGGTGGTGGTGCTGTGACCTCAAATGCTTCTGAACAGTTTTAAAGCAGGAACTGGCTTTCTTATCATCTTCCACCCATCTTAAGATACACTGTTCTTTATTTTTTAACATCTCTGAAATAGACTATGTGTTTTACAATCAATGGCAATTCAAATATATCAGAGGATGAATTACAGAGCATTCTTGTTGAGTATATATAATTTGCTTCTGTCAGAAAATGTCAGTCTAAAATTCCTGTCAATTAAATGTATCGCATATGTTAAGGACACAGAGGTCATTGAGCACAAACTTCAAGTGTTTCGTAGGCATGCTTTCCCTCTCTCACGCGTTGTGAAACGGAGACATGACTTCTACCGCCCTTCTCTGCTTATATCATATTCACCTAGTTTCTTATACTTATCTCAACTTAGTAGGGTCTCCTATTTATTGATTCCCTTCATATTGGTCATTCTTTTACTTAGTTACAAATAAAATAATAATAACCCTGGTTATGACAAGTCGTGTCATACCAGTAAAGCTATGGTGTGGTTGAATGTGTGCAGGCACATGTGATGGACTACTTGGTTACTAGCTAGTGGTGGTGTTTTAGAAGGTTTAGAACCTTTAGGTGGTAAAGGCTTGTTGGAGGAAGTATGTCACATGGGTAGCCTTGAGGGTGGATAGCTTAACCACTTTCCTTTTCCCTTTCTGCTTCCACACTGTGAATGGAATGTGATAAGCTGGCTTCATGCTCCTAATTTTCCCTGCCATTACGCACTATATCTTGCCTCAAATGTCAATTACACAATGTTGTATATATGATTAAAATATGTGACATAAATTACATCTAGATGTTATTTTCCTCCTTATTACCAGTCTATCTCTGTGTCAAATTCATTTGCTTTTATAATTTAATTATCTAGATTATTAGGCAATAAGATAAAGTTGCTGTAAAATAACAAAGATTATTTTTCATTGCTCACTCCCAAACATATACTTGATTTCTTTGGCCTTTGGATCAAGATATAACACTTAACTTCTTTAACTCTGAGTGTAAATATTTGCACAAGGGGATGATGGTCATATAGTTCAAGGGGTATGTTGAGAACAATTTAGAAAAAATTCACCTAGCTGTAGAGACAATATAATGTTTAATGAATGCCTATTTTGTTCAAATAACAAATACAAATGCCCCATGCTTAGCAAGATACCTGCATCAATCTATACACTTGCTGTAGCTTACCTGTTAGTGCTGCTTCTCCTCCTCCTCCTCCTCCTCCTCCACCTCCTCCTCCTCCACCTCCTCCTCCTTCCTCTCTTTCTCCTCCTCGTCAGAATGGGGGTATAATAAACCTGATTTTCTCAGGCTCTTGTGAGAATTAAATGGAATTATAAATACTTAGTCATTAGGATGTCTATGGATTATTCCTACCACAACTTTATGAAATCATTCCTATTGCTATCCCCAATTTTATAGACCATATTTGGGGTATGAATGCTACATACAGCTTGAGTTCTATTAGCACCAACTCCAACTCAGATCTGTCTAATCGATTAGTGTCTTGAGTGTTCCTTCACTTACCACCTGCCAGTAGGAAGTAAATGAATATCTTTCTATTTTAAAAAGCTTTTGCCATTCCACTTGGATCCTAAGTATGTGTATTCTCTGTCAAATATGAGCATAAAATGGGGTATTAAAAGTGACACAGAGTCATGTATCTGGGCGGGAAACTGGTGATGTTAGAAACACGGCTGCAGTTTAAAGTGAGAACATATGGCATGGTATGAATGGGAACTTTGCACGTAAAGAAAATGCGCAAGTGCTGGAGGGAAATGTGAACTGGGGACTTTTATTTTTCACGAGTTTCTATGAGATGTCTGATCAGAAAGCCTTTCATTGTCATCTCTCTGGCTGGCCACGTCAATTTGGGCAATTGCTGCATTTGTCTGTTGAAAATGTCTTTCATATTTTCAGACCCGATAAAAGTTTAGCAGACCCTTTTCAGGAAATGGTGCTTTTCGAACATGATTGAACGGCTCCTTTATCTGTCTAGTATCTTCTAAGAACACCAAAAGGGAATCGTTGCCAAGAAATGTCTTGTCAATCATATCTATGCATACGCATAATAATGGAGTCATTAGTACCCCCTTAGACTGGATCTGCACCGGGAAGCATTGGTATGTAATTACCACATTGTCTGATTTCTTGAGCTTTAGGATCAGCATACAATCTATAAAATTTCCATTATTTTATACTAATGGCTTCTGCTATCTTCTTATAGACAAAAATAACACATATTTGAAGATTTAATGGTTTTACTTTTACATTTATTTCTTATAAAATTCTTTAGAGATCTCAAATATACGAATGTAGTTTCACAGCATTTTTGGGCATCTTGTATATAAAAATTATTACTGATCACCAAATAATGTTATATTGGTATACTAATGGAACATTGTGAAATCACATATTCATCATTATATTCATTTACTTAGTCACTTCTTAGCACATTTCGATTGAGTAACTATGATGTCTGCCTTCTGATGGTAAGATTCAGTCTTTCACCAGAGTAGTCAACAAGGAAATATTTGCAAACAAATACTCTGCAAAGTTAAAACATGAGGAGTCAGGTGACATCAGTCACTTCCTACACCTGCTGACCACCATTAGATGCTATTCCACAAAATGCTACACAAGGGAAACCTACAGTTTACTGTCCTGAAAGGATCTGCTCTGGGAAAACTGACCAGCAAATGGCCAAGCAGCACAGGGAGTGTTAGAGAACTCATCTTATGTCATTCTGATGGGAATGGATTAAGGAGGCACTCTGAAAATCCTGGCCTGACCTGCAGTTTCTGACAGGTTTTATAGGCTGAATAACACTGAATTCTTTTCATATGTGCAACCTGCAGATGGGCTCTGTATTTCACAGCCATAGAGGGTTAGGCTGGTCCACCGATGCAGAACTTACTGGGGCAGTTGCTATGGTACACATGTTATAAAAGATAGCTTTCACAAGTGTGAGTCTTCCCAAGATAGGAGGAAAGAGTGTTCAGCTGAAGCAAGCAAGAATACAAGAACAGAATTCAGTATATTTTATCTAATTGTATTGACAGGAAAAATTTAAGTTATTTTAAGATTTTTGCAATGCAAGACAGTAGTTTGATTATGTTGGGTGCATTTTAAAAGGCAATAAGTGTATGACATATGAAGCACAATTGATAAAAACTCAGAGAGGGAAACTGGGGTTCAACCTGAAGACCGGAAAAGCAAAACAACCAGCCACTGGCTCTTACCTTGACCTCAGTTCGAAATGGCAATCCTGCCTCCAGGAATCTCAGAATGAGACTGTGTTTGAGAGCTATTTCCTCCCATTTTATAATACTCTCTAGCTCCAGGATTAAAGGTGTACATCACTGGGATTAAAGGCATACAACGCCCAGTTTCTATGGCAACTGGTGTGGCTACTAGGATTAAAGGTGTATGTTACCACTGACTGACTGTCCGGCTGACCAGTGGGGCTGTTTTACCCTCCCAATTCTCAGGCAAGCTTTATTTATTAAAATACAATTGAAATGCTACTGCAGACATATTTCTTTCTCTCCTTTAAAATAATGTGAGACTCTGAACTGTCACATAAAAAAAGGTACAATTAGTTCAGAAATCACTGCTGAATTTAAGGATAATCAGAGAAGAAATCCTAGGAATAAAATATTTTGTCTACAAAAATATATGCTCTACTATGTTCATAGCAGCATTGTTTGTAATAGCCAGAACTTGGAAACAACCTAGATGCCCTTCAATTGAAGAATGGATGAAGAAAGTATGGAATATATACATATTAGAGTACTACTCAGCAGTAAAAAACAA